TTTTTTTTTTTTTTGCTTTTGATATGCAATTTTTATTTGGTGTTTTCACTTAAGTAAAAAAAATTCAATCATTATTTATTTATTATATAAAATCATCAAATTATTAATTTATATAAAGTTGAGAGACTGGGACAATTTAAAAAAACAAAAACAAAAGAGAATATTAATTATTATTAAAATAAAATTATTACCACAAAGAAAGAATATAGTAAACATACCCTTAGTTTTTTTCAAATCAATTGAGGCTAAGAGATTCACAAAAAATTAAAATTAGTCAAAAAGTAGACAGCCAACCTTGTTACAAAGCAATAACATTTCTCCAAATTTTTATCTCCTCTAAATTTTTTGCCTTTTATAAGTCAATAAATTCTTGGCTAGTAGATTCTCCTTAGCCAGAAGCAGAAAAAAGAAAAGAAAGGTACGTGTTTTGATCTTCAGAGACTGTATATTTATTATTATCACAAGATATTGGATTCGTTTTTCCATCATTCCACACAGAAGAAACTTTCTCACGCTTCCATAGAATTCCCTGACAAAGCATCCAATCCCTGTACCCATTGACCTCTTTTTGTTAGATCCCCTTGGATTCCAAACAAATTGCCTACGAACCCCAAAGGCAACCATCATGCAAACACAAAAGGATTAAAAAAACATAAAAGAACACAGAGTGAAAGCGAAAGGGTTAAGTGCAAAAGAGATAGTATCTATCTTATAATCCCAACTAATCCTAACTTAATATGTGTCAATATGTAATTAATGATTGAAATGAAACAAAGAATTACAACTTTGTGGGTAAGCTGTCCGAGCCTACCCTTTGTCTTGACCAAATCAATCAAATTTTGGTTCAAAGATTTACAAAATCAATCTTATGAACCACTTAATATGAACATGCTGTGTCATCGGATGCTCTCTGCGTCCGAGACGATAATCATTTGGTGATTAGTATATAAGGTGGAACCCAAAGCCAATATTTGGTTTCCACCCAATACATGAATGAATATGATTTCTTGGCCTAATGCTAAAAACTAGCTACTTGGACTCCCTCTACTTTCCTAAACCAAACATGTATAATGGTAACTAAGATGATTGTAAATGCAATAATGATAGGCATGGATGAGAATGAATTGGGTAGAGACAGTCAGCGGATTGCGCTTGGCATCTGGATTCTGAAAATGATGGTTCCTTATTGATTCTTATGGTGAACTCTTGAATTGCACCTCTTGTTAAGCTTGGTGATGATCAGACATCCTCCCTGTGAATCAATAAATTATTTTGTAAGCTCTGGAACTTTACTATCCTTTGAATGAATCTTAATTGTCTTGAAGAAGACTGTATTCCTCCACACTATTAGGAGGATGAGTTCTTTTCAGAAGATGTTCTGGAAGAAGTTTGTGAAGCACCTTTGCCGGTTTCTGCCACCTCAGTTGTCATTGTGGTTGCTGTTGTTGCTGCTGCTGTTGATAATGATAATGTTACTGGTATTGTTGTTGTTGCTGTTGCTGCTGCTGCCGTTGATGTTACTGGTATTGTTGTTGTTGTTGTTGCTGCTGCTGCTGCTGTTGATGTTACTGGTATTGCTGCTGCTGCTGTTGATGTTACTGGTATTGCTGCTGTTGCTGCTGCTGTTGCCGCTGCTGCTGCTATTGATGATGATGTTACTGGTATTGTTGTTGTTGCTGTCATAGTTGTAGATGCACCTGTTGCATTTTACATTTAAGTTCTCTTATCAACTTCTTTTGGAAACTTGTTGGAGATGAGGGACTAATTAATTAGCAAACTATTGCATGAATCTTATAAAGATTGATTAAAATCATCACCCGCGCTTGTTGTAACCATGGGAATTGAAGAAGGGAGGGATAGAATTCCAGTTGAACCATACTGCTGAGGCAAATAAGGGTACTGCAACATTTGGGGATATTGAACTCCAAAACCATGACCTTGGCTACTCTGTGCATGTTGAGCATATAATGGATAAAAATTATGAAAAATCCCTGGTGTCCCTGATGCTCCAGAAGCGTAGTAAGGTGACAACTGCTGACCTCCATAGAGACCATAGTAGTTCTGCAACAATGCCATTAAACTCAAACAAAAGGCATGTCCCAAGAAAGTGCTACAAAGCCATTGATATATTAAATAACCGAAAGACCAAGAGACAAAGTACTAACCAAAGGATAAATGGCATCTTGTGAATATCCAGCATACCTGAAAATTGAACAAAACATTTATGAGGAAATAGAACACACGGAAATCAATAAATAGTAACGTCCAGGCAAAAATGCATTCTCCGCATTTATTGTTCCTAATAATATCAGCATTCACCTACTTACCCAAAAGCTGAATAAGGAATTGAGTATTGACTCGTTGGTTGATGCATATAAGATGATGAAGAACCATGATAGGGCGGTGCTGTACTCAATCCATGTGCTGGTCTAAACCGACCTCCCCCTGCTGTTTGAATATTGTTCTTCAGAAAATCATTCTATGAATCTAGTGTTTAGATACAACACATTGTTATTCTCCAAATTCACTATGGATTAAAATGATGTATCAAAAAAGAGAATGCATTCCCAAATTAATTTTCAGAATGAATAAAAAATCTATTAATTAATTATCAGGCATCTATCATTTCAACTTTTGCATTAGAATGATAAGAAGATTAGAGAGGAGGAAAAGGGAGAAAGAGATCAGAAACCATGTTGAGGGGTTGGTGGGCGAGTCTTATTTGCACCAAGGGATGCAAGATTGCAATTTGCCCTCCTTCCATCAATGACTGGAGATTGGTTTTGGCATGCTCTCATTGCAGCCTCTGGATCCTTGAATGTAACCTGAAAATGCAGAATAAGGGGAACAAAAAACACCCAACTTTTATCCATCAAAATCAATCAAAATCAAAACAAAAAAACCCTCTGCAAAAATAAGGAAATGAAGAAGATGAAAAATGGCCTTACAAAGCCATAACCCTTGGATCTTCCAGTGTTCTTGTCTGTGATAACCACAGCCTCAATAATCTCTCCAAATTGCTCAAAATAACGCCTCATGGTATCCCTCTGAGTCTCCCAAGCCAACCCTCCAACAAAAATTTTTGTCAAAGTGGTGTCATTGTATTGCCGAGGATTATTCCCACCCCCCATCTGAAATTGCCTTTGTTGAGACATGAACACAAACACAAAGGAAAAAACAAAACAGACCCCCAAAAAAATTAAAAACCCACTAAAAAGAGATCAAAAATAAGGAACCCAGAAACAGAAATCCAAATATAGAAGGAGAAAACGGTGGAAAGAAAGAAAGAAAGAAAGGAGGCGTTTGGATGATTATGAATGAGATTATCAAATCAATCAAAAGAGAAAGAAAGCAAGTTCGCCCTTTTTTCCCCTCGCACCGCTCGTGCACTTGTTATGTTTTTTTTGTATTCTGGTGAACTTGTTCTTCCTCTTCTCTTCTGGGTGTTCTTCAAATACAAAAACTTACACTTTTTCACAACCACAGCTCCTCAGATTCCTCAACAACGATACCCGTAACGAGAAAATCATTACTCTTGCAGGTGGGGAGAGGAAGACAAGGGAAAAAGAAAGAAACCCTCTCCGAGAAAAAAATAAATTTTATATATTAAAAAAAAAAAAGATTATGCAAATAGTAACAGGATACGAAGACGAAGAAAGGGAGAAAAAGAAAGACAAAAAAAAAGCTGCGAGTGGGCACCCACGACAAGGTTGTCCAATGAAAGATGATGAAGACCAAAGACTCAACCTTTTTCGCTGTATCAACCACTTTCTCTCTCTGTAATTTTATCATACGTGTGGGTGGGTCTGCTTCGCTGTATTCAACCTTCCATTTTCCCCTCTCCTCTTAATATTGCATGTTCTGTTTCTGGCATTCGTGGGTCTTTCAGATATCATGCCTTGATTTTCTCTCTCTCACTCTCTGTTTCTTTCTCTCTGATTCGACGCAACTCCTTCCCCTGCAACTGCAGCTATTCCCTTAACCGAAAAAATACAGTTAATCGTGCGCCAAAAGCCACAACCTTCCAAATCCACCCTTGGGCGTCTCCTAAACTTTTTAATTATTCAATTTGACCCACAAACTTATATATCTTCAATTCAAAGGCAATATTAGGGCATGCGCAACAGGAACAATGAAAAAACTCATTTTGATATTATATCATCATAATTAATATTATTTTATATAATTTCATATTTTTATATATTTAAACTTTAAATGTAAGATTTAATAGAGTGCCCATTTTTCAATGCATATATTTAAGCTGAATTTTCTCAAAAGATATACCATTATTATTTTATTTAGAAAAAAAATATTTATTCATAGAATCTTTAAAAAAATTAAAAGAAAAAACAATCTAAAATTATATTACGTTAATAAATTTTTATTAAAAAATATAAAAAATATCTTAATTTTATGTCGTGAATGAGATTATTTTAATTTTTTTGTAATATTTTATTAAAATAATATAATTTTAAATTTTTTACTTAATTTTTTTAAATCTAATTAATAAATACTAATATTCTTCATTTAACCCACATTTTATATATTTAAACAAACAATTTTTAATTAATCTTTGTATTTTAGAAAAAAACAAAAAAAGGGAGAAACTGTTGAATTTAATAAAAGCATGGCAGTACTTAACATGCGCTGACATTGTGTCAGTGCATATCAGAGCAATCAAAAGAAAATTACTTTAAAATAAATAAGTAATTTTTTAATTTATATTTTTATAATATAGATTAAATTTTATTTATTATAATATTTATAATTAATTTTATATAAAAATTTATATAAGATTTAAATAAAATAAAATATATAAAAATATAATATAATATTTTATCTCAGAATTCATAAAAAAAATTATAAATTT